TTAATTTCTACTTTTATGACATTGTGATTAGAGAAAATGCTTTGTAGTATCTTAGTGTTTTGAATTTTTTTGAGGGTTGCTTTGTGGCCTAAGATGTGGTCTATTCTGGAGAATGTTCAATGTGTTTTGGAAAAAAATGTATACTTTGCTGCTGTTGGGTAAAGTGTTCAATATATGTCTATGAGGTCAAGTTGGTTGATTGTGCCCTTTAGATCTTCTGTATCTTTGCTGAGTTTCTTTCAAGATGTTCTATCCTTTACCGAGAGTGGTGTGTTAAAGTCTCCTACTATTATTGTGGAACTGTCAATTTCTCTTTTCAGTGCCGTTAGAGTTTATGTATTTTGGAGCCCTGTCGTTGGGTGCGTAGATACTTATTATGGTTATGTCATCATGGTGGATTGTCCATTTAATCATTATACAATACCCTTCCTTGTCTTTTATGGTGATTTTGCCTTAAAGTCTATTTTATCTGAGATTAATATAGCCACTCCTTCTCCTTTTTTGGTTACTGTTTGCTTGATATATATTTTTTCCATCCTCTGATTTTTAATATATTTATTTATGTCTTTGTTACTAAGGTGTGTCTCTTGTAGACAGCATATTGATGGGTCTTGTTTTTTTTATCCATTCTGTCACTCTCTCTTTATGGGCACATTTAAGTCATTTACATTCAGTGTGATTATCGATAGGTGTGAGTTTATTGCTATCATTTTGTAGTGCTTTTTCTTGTGGTGCTGATATTTTCTTTGTTCCTATTATTCTTCTGTGCTGAGTTCCTTTTGTTTGTGGATTTTCTTATTGTTTCTTTTATTTTTGTAGATTTTGTATATACTGAGACTTTATGTTTTTCTTCTTTATTTTTATGAGTACGTTTGTTAAGTTTCTTTGTGGTTACCTTGAAATTTACCCCTCTCTTCCTAAGTTTGAACCAGTCTTTTATTACTTGATGTTGTTCTTCTCCATTTGAAAGTTCGATACCTACACTGTTTATACCCCCTTTTATTGTTCTGATGTTGTTGTCATTTACAGATTGATGTCTCTGGTTCCCTGTTTTAAATCTTTTAGTTTTATTTTATCCTTGAGAGTTTATTACCTAGGTTGGTATCTGGCTGATGCTGTCCTGTGTCCTAGATTCAGGTTGTGGTCGGTTCTCTAACCAAAGTACTCCCTTTAATAATTCTGGTAAGTTTGGTTTGGTTTTTATATATTTCCTTAATTTCTGTTTATCTGGAAATGTCAATAGAATTTTTTTTTTTTTTTTAATGGGAAGAGGCCCCTGATGATTCTGATTATTCTAGGGCAATGTATATATTTTTTTTTTTTTTTTAATGAACAAAAGTCATGAACAGTTCAAAGGGAAAAGAAAAAAAATACAGAAAATACGCAATGGCTTTAAACATATGGAAACATCTTAAGCTTTACTCATAATAAAATAAATGCTTGTTAAAACTATACTGAGATCACATTTCTCACCTGCCTAATTGGTAAAAATCCCCAAGTTTGACAGTCACACTGTTAGGAAGGCTCTGAAGAAAGAAGCACTCATGTACATATGATACAAAATGATACAATCCCTATTAGAGGAGAATGTGACACAACTTAACAAAATCCTATTTCTAGGAATCTAGATTAGTGGCCACTTCTCCATAATATTCACAGTAAGTTCTTGCTACTGAGTGTGGTCTATGGATGGGCTGCATCAGTTACTGGGGTGCGTGTTAGCAATGCCAAATCTCAGGACCTACTGAAACATGATCTGTGCTTTAATAACACCTGCAGATGACTTGTATGTGCATTAATGTTTGAGAAACACTGCTCTAGGTTATTCACGGTAGCATTATTTGTAATGATGTAAGATTGGCACACAAAGGAATACTGTGCAGCCATAAAAAAGAATAAGGAAGATCTGTGTGTGCCAAATTAGAGGGATCTCCAAAAGTTATTCTTGCATTAAAAAAAAAAGCAAGTTGCAGATTTTTAGACAGATAGATAGATGGATAGAACACTACCCTTTTGATAACAAAGGAGTGGAATTAAAAAAAAAGAGAAATACTGCAAAGATAAACCTGAAGCTAATAAAATTGGGGTGAAAAGGATTGGAGAGATGAGTGGAAGTGACATATGTTTCAGCGTTCCTTTATGTTTCACTACTCCAAAAATAAGATTAAATAAAAGTCACAATCGGGAGTGGGGGTTGCTCCAGGCATATTGTGGGTACAGGCCAAGGATGATGCTAAACATTATACAATGCACAGGACAGCCAGCCCATTATAACAAAGAACTATGCAGTTCAAAATGTCAGTAGTCCCCAGGTTGAAAACCCTGGCTTAGCGGAGGGGCAGAGGAGGCAGTAGTTTAAGAGTCTGAAGTTTTCAAAATTGACCTCATTTTTAAAGTCTGGATAGCGTTTCCCCACCTCCAGTCATCGGATTCATTTCTGTTCTCCATGGCTGCTGAATACGGCGGATGGCGTTTTCAGATACATTCCTGCAGTTTGTCAGTACCATACAGGCCAGAGAGTACTGGAGTCTTTGTAAATACTAGAATCGCGCAGGCTTCGTCCATTTTTAAAGTCTGTTCTACACTGTTCAACTTAAGACCACAGGCCCGGAACGTAGGCCCTTTGTCGCATTACCCTCGGTGGCCAAGAGCTCCAAAGTGAACGTTACGCACGGAATAGATTGCTGCCCCTGCAGAGGGCGGCCTGGAGCCTGGGTGGGGATCCAAGTCCAAGTGCCGCAGCCGGGGAACCTCCCTTCAGCCCACCCGCGTGCCCCCGCTCCCCGCCCTGGGGCTGGGAGGCGCCCGCGCCCGCACCCTGCGTCCCACCCACAGGCCGATATTTGAAACCCCGGGCGCCTCCGATCCTACTTCCGGCGTCTGCGCGCGGTGCCCGCTTTACTCCTGCCTGCACTGCCGAAATTCTGGGGTACGCGTCTGTCTGGGGTCCGGCTCTCCGCTCCATCGCCTGGGAAGAGCCGCGCGGGAGAAGCCCCCTACGCTCCCCGGCGCTCTCCTCAACTGCGTCGCGGGCTGGGTCGCGCTGGGCGGGGGCCAGGGCAGCGGCACCGAGCGTCTGGCTCGGGTTCCACTCCAGGCCTGGCGCGGGGAGAACAAGGCGCCTATCGGGGAGTGCGCACGGCCGCTGGCTGACCTAGGGCCCGCACTCGAGGAGGCGCAGGAGGCGTCGTCGGCTCCGGGATAGGGACGGTGCGGAGTCTCCCTGGCTGCTGCGCCGAGAGCTCGGGCGCAGGCGACCCCCCGCGGCGCCGCGCCTGGTGCGCGCCGGCTCGCGCCGCAGGGAGTGAGCGTTGGGGCCCCCGAGGGGCCTGAGGCCGAGTGGTGGGTGCCAAAGTCGGCAGGACCCGGCTCCCCCAGCACCTCTTCAGACACCGAGCGCGTAGGTGGGTGTCTTTGCCCGCCCCGGCCTCCGCGGAGGAGTTTGGCAAATTCCGCAGCCTGTGAAGATAACCCCGAGGGCCATTCCACATCTTTTTCTTTTTTATTAAATTCACCGCAGGCAGAATATGACAAGATTTGGTGTCTTGAAGGCTAAGAGGACAGGGGGAACATTTTAATTATACTTGGGGTTTATGTGCTAGATAAAATTGACACTTAGGTTGGTTTCTTTTTCTCCCCCCTCTAAAAACTCAAATTTGGAAACCGGAAGTATGGAAAATTAATATTCAGATGCTGTCAGGAATAGTCACATGAGAGGTGGAAGCTGGGTCAGGTGTTGGCACTTTTGCTTCCGGGTGCTGTTGTGTCTGATAACAGGAATATGGTCCAAGGCTGCCTGCTTCTCCCTGGTGCATTGTAGGACTGATGGGAAGGGCTAAGTAACCTTTGGATTAAGGTCCTGGGGCCTGTCGTATCACTGGGTCGAAATGATGTACTCTGTGGTTAGCATGAATTACTGCTTTTATCATGTATACAGGAGGTGGGGCAGCGTTACTGCTGTTATCAGTGTACAGGAGATAGGGCAGCGTTTCATGCCTCCTGCTAAGTAACTGCATCCCTCCTGACTTTACGACAGGGAAGGGTTGCAGTTTGAGTCATGTGTAGCTACATAAGCTAAGTATTTAAAATTATATAAGGGCAATTCCAATCCAAGGCATTTTTATTACAATTCAGTATATTACAGTATGGTGAAATTATAGTGAACAGAATCACTATTCTTTTCTACTTATATTAAGGGCAGCCTATATTACACCAAGTGTATGTTGTGAGGCAGCATGAATATCATTTGACCTCTAATGGCTACTGGCAGTTATTTTCAACTGGGAAATAGAGTGCTATCAGTGACTTCACTGTGGGCTTTGAAAATTGAGCCAGTTTTTGCTCTTTCAGAATGTTAGCAATTATGGAATACTAGAGATAGAAGAGTATGTAGATCATCTGCCGTATTCCCTTTCTCATACAGTCAGGACTGGTATCAGAAATCAAGTGTTCAGCATCCCAGAGCTGAACTTACAAATCCTCTCTCCTTCCTGACTCGGGCCTTTTCCTTTGAATGGTCTGCTTTGTTTTTCCCAATTCATATTAAAAAAGAAGAAGACTGAAGCTAGTTTATGTTGAGAAACTATTGGTCTTCCAGCATTAAGTTCCCTTTACACAATGAAACAGATGTACCTGATTTCCACTTGATCCCGAATAGTTTGCCTTGGGCTTGCCAGACTAGTTCTTTCCCAGTGGGAGTGTGTCTGTGATGGGTGAGGGAGGGCCGTTTGCCTGTTTAAGGTCAGTGACATAAAGGTCAATAACCCAAACAAATTCTTTAGGGACATTACCAGAGACAGAATGCTTTATTAATGGCATTTCTTAGGGTGGAAATTTTATTTGCATTAGTATTCCTTCAACATTTGAGGGAAAAACATGTGCAGATAGTAGAGTCTTGGGTGGGAGTAGAGGAATGTGGGACTTTTCCTTGACCAGCTTCACTGGTGACAAACTAGGCCACTAAACCTCTGCCCTTTTTTGTGTGCACTGAGCCATTTGCATGCAAAACCAAAGGCACCCCTGTACCCTGCTACAGGGGGCTGGGGCAAGGGGGGTCTTAGGATCCTTGTTTGTAGCAGGAACATGCAGAACTATGTTTCTTGCTTAGACAAACCTTATCTTTTCTTGACTCTCAATCCAGAAGTTTCCTTAGGTTTACTCGCGTTTTATAAATTGCTTTTCTTAAAATTGTAAGTGGGCCACTGTTGCCGATTTAGAATTCAAATAACCAGAAATATGTACAACTTTGAGTCAGTTTCATATGATGGCTTCTGTAGTTTCTATTGGTGTTCCTAAGGGTCTGCAAAATCCTAAAGTTATTTCTGTATCATCAGAGAATCTGTTATATTCAGAAGAATTTCAGTAATATGTATGTTCTGTTGTACTTTCTTTGAAAATCAGTGATCTAGTGTATATGTGGAAAGTCTCAGCAAACCAGAAGTGCCCAGCACCCCAACTATTCTGTATAGTGAATAAAGAGAGGTTTAAAAAATAATGTTTAAACAAAGACAGCAAAATCTAGCAAGTATATTAGTTTTTGTATTAGTTTCCTATGTTGCGATAACAAATTACCACAAATTTGGTGCCTTAGAAAAACACACATTTATTCTCTTATAGTTCCGGAGGCCAGAACCCCGAAATCAGATTCCCCGGACTAAAGGCAGGATGTGCTCCCTCTGGAGGCTCTAGGGCAAAGTCCATGTCCTTCCCTTTTCCAGCTTCCAGACTTGCACTTCTTGGCTCCTGGCCTCTCTTCCTCCATCTTCAAAGCCCGCAGTGGAGCATCTTGCTTCAGAGTTCATATTGCTTTCTTCTCTGTTGTCATCACTCTCTCTGCGTCCCTCTTGTAAGTACACAGGTGATTGTATTTAGAACCCACTGTAGTAATGCAAGATAATCTTCCCATTGGCCTTACAAGGTTTCAGGGATTAAGACCTTGGATATCTTTGGGCCATTATTCAGCCGAGTGCAGTTACAGATGTAATTGTACACGTGGCAAAGCGCTTGCTTCCCAGTTGGTCTTTGGTTCCCATGCACTTCTCAGGTGAGTCATTGGAAATGTTCTAGAATGCTCCCACTGGAGAAATACTACTTTGGTAAATATTAATAAAAAGATGTCAGAGCAAGTGCTTTGTTCCCGCCGGAGCTCACCCACCCATCCGGCCTGCTCTGCTGCACTTGTAGACTTTCTGACTAATTGGGCTCTTAGGTCACCTCTTGTCCTCTCTCCCAGATTGCAGCTCTTCCTTGAGCAGTGGTGAAAAGACAGAGCATTGACCGGAGTTCGGCCCTTCACCCTTTAGCTTGGATATATCACTTCACTTCTGTGAGCTCCAGGTTCCCATTAGGAAAACGGCAGTTTCTAGTAGGTATCTCTGAAGACCTGTTCTGCTTTAGCGTTTTATGACTCTGTGATTCTGACCTGCCTGAGACACCGTTGCCACACCCCTACCTTGACTGCCTAGTTGCATTCCTGATAGAGCCCTGCTTGGCAGCCAGGCCCGTGGCCAAACACCCTGAGTGGCAGGGGCTCTGGAGACTTGGGGAGCCTGGTCCTGGCCTCTGAGGCTGCTGTTTAGAGGGGGAGGTGGGCTGCACTTGCTGACCATGGTACAAGGTGCCCTGCAGTAAATGCACCATGTGTGACTGAGCTGTGTTGCCGTGGTCCAGACGGGAGCAAGGTCTGGCCTGTGGGAGGCAGGAGGGCCTGGAGACAGGGCCTGAGATTAGGCTTTGACACATGCGTAGTTTTCCTAAACGCAGAACTAAGGGTCAGAGGTGCTCATTTTTAAGGCTTTCGTACATTTTTGTATGTGGTTGGATTTGTCATCTTTTAAGGCTTCAGGCTATTCGTAGATTGGGGTCCCCTCTCCAACATTTTAAAAATACTCAAACATCTTTTCTTGTATAATTTCGTGATTGAAGCTATACTGAATTATTTCCAAACGATCAAGTAATATATATAAGCCACAACCAACCAGACAATACAGACATGTAAGCAAAAACCCATAACGCCTTTTCTAATTCTACCCCCAAGAAGTAACTAAAGTGAACAGTCATATGTGTTTTCTTCCACGCATTCTCTATACTCACAAGTATTCACATTTAAGTCCCCTGCTTTTTTCTCTATTTTTAGAAAAGTGGGATCCTATTAGAAACATTGCTACTCAGTTTTTTCAACTAATGTTAGAGGCACACAGAATAATCTTGACAGCCCCACAAAGAGCTGTGTGTGTACCTGTTTGCTCACTGAACGTATTAGTAAGCAGAGTGAAATGCATGGGCATGGAAGCCTATGTTTATGCTGTATTGTTTTTAAATCCATCGTTTCAGGTCTGTCAGCATGGAAACACTATCAGAAGCAAACGGCACCTTTGCCTTGAACCTCTTGAAAAAGCTGGGTGAAAACAACTCGCAAAATGTGGTTTTTTCACCCATGAGCATCTCCTCTGCCCTGGCCATGGTCTTCCTGGGGGCCGAGGGGAACACTGCCACCCAGATATCTCAGGTACCTAAAGCCACCTCAAGGCAACAATGTATGGTCTATCTTTGTCGACTGAGCTGATCTTTCACGTTTCAGATCCTAAAAGAGTCGCTCTCACCAGATAACTCTACTCGTGACTCAGGAGTGTGGAGGGGGGTTGACAGGGAAGGGCATGTGACCAGTGCCTACCCACCCTGTGGTGAGCAGAGTTCTGGGCACTGTATTCAGAAGAGTGGATGATTCCATCTCCACATTGTATTAGCTTTTACATGAGTTTATATGTAGATGTACAATCACAGGATTCAAGTTGAGTCTTGTGATACTCTTTTGGATATGGTCAACTGTTTTGCAATTGTTAAAAATAACCTCTTATTTTTATTTTCTCATTCAAGTGTAAAACTCTCTTAGAATGGCACTTGTCAGCCAAAAATGCTTTCAGTTGTCTTTCAATTATTTATTGTTGAGTAACCAACAGCCTAAAATGTGGTGGCTTCAAATGACAATTTACTACTTTGTGAATCTGTGGATGGGTTGGGCATGGCATCTGTTCCACTGAGTGCTGGTTGGGGCCACATGTCTCTGTGCTCAGCTGGGCTTAGGTGGGGTGCTTTCCTCTCTTCCACATGGCCCCATCTCCATGTTTGCCTCATCCCAGAGGGCCTTTCCAGACGGCCTCTTTAGCAGTGTGATCTGCACTTCCTTACAGCATAGTGTCTGGGTTTCAAGAGGGGGCATTCTAAGAAGACCAGCTTGACATGCAAGTACTCATCCAGCCCTGCTTGTATCATGCTTGCTAATGTCCCCCTGACTAAAGCCAGCCACACAGCCAGGCCCAGAGTCAGTGAGAGGGGCTACACCAGGGTGTGAACACTGGAGGTCTGGCTCATGGGGGCCACCAGAGACTGCCAGGGTCTGCCTGCTGGCCCCTAATGATGCACACCCTCCCACAGGTAAAATATACTTACTTAGCCCCTCCCAAGATCCCAAAGTCTCATTCCATTTTGGGATCAGGCTCAGGCTTGAGGTTCAGCCTTGAACGTCTTGAAAAAAGCTGGATGAAAACAACTCGCAAAGCGGTATGATGGAGGCTCTTCACGTGCAGCTCTTTGGGTATGGTTCCTTAGTGCAGAGATCTGTGAACTAAAATGACAAATTATCCACTCCATTTACCCCCACCCCATACACTCCCAGTGTATACTGGTAAGACAGGACGGGATGGCTGCAATAGACCCATTCAGAATTGGTGGTGGAGGGCGGGAAGCATATGGCAGTCACTGAGCAGTTCCGAAATCCAGCTAGGTCCATGCTACCACTTCCCTCTGCTCCACATGTGCTTCAGGAGTCATTCCTGTGCCATGGCCTGCTTTGGCCCTTGGCTGTACCCTCTGTGTTCTTGGCTTTCTGCACTTTCTCTCCTCTTCTATGAGAATGGCCCGTGTCTGTTGCTGAGGAGCTCTCTTAGCCTGCTTCCTGCTCATAGAAGTGAGGGGCCCAGATGCCTCTTTGGATCTGTCACTCTCCCTTTCAATCCAAGTTGTTACAGCTCCTTTAGAACCTTTGTGGGCTTTCAGTATATTAACTTACAGTCCATGTCATTAGACAAAAGCCACATCCACGAGTCTGAGGCAGGACTCGGTGCATTGGATGTGTATTGTGTTGGGAGGCGGCGTGCTGTGGGACAAACCACATAAGCCATGAGCATAACTGACCTGAGCTATTCTGTCAGGGTTTGAGAAAGGGCATTTTTACTCATACCAGTATTTGGAGGACTCTGGTTTCCTGCAGGATGTGATTATAGGGAGACCTTGGAAGAACTTCAGGTAGGGAAATGGTGTGGCTTTCAAGACACTTTCCACCTTTAATGGGATTAATCTTCTTTTAAGCTGTAGTAGGAGGTCTGGTGGTGCAGTGGTTAAGCGTTTGGCTGTTAACCAAAAGTGTTAGGCATTTTGAACCCACCAGCTGCTCCATGGGAAAAAGATCTGGCAGTCTGCTTCTGTAAAGATTTACAGCCTTGGAAACCCTATGGGCCAGTTATCCTCTGTTCTACAGGGTTGCTTATGAGTTGGAATCAACTGGACAGCAACGGGGAGAATCTGTAAAGTTCTTAGTGCTGAGTTTAGTGCTGTACCCATTTCTTGAAAGTCAGCGGATACTGAGGGTGTGTGTTTTTATTCTGTGTTTGATTTCAGGCACTTTCTTTAAATAAAAGCAGAGGTGGAGGTGGAGATGTTCACCAAGGTTTCCAGTCGCTTCTCACTGAAGTTAACAAACCTGGTACTCAGTACATGCTCAGAACAGCCAACAGGCTCTTTGGAGAGAAGACATATGATTTCCTGTCAGTAAGTCATACTTGTTTTTTTCCCTAAAGAAGTAAAGATGGCGAGGTGGGGAGGAAGGGATCGTGTGGTGAGAAGAGTAGAGCGTGGGCTCTGACAGCATGCAGATGGCCTGTGTCTGCACACCTCCTTCCACTCTGTCAGTTTCCTCATCTGTAGAATGGGCCTTATAGCAAATGCTGTGCAGATTTTTGTGAAGCTTAAATGAGGGAGTATTCATAAAAGAACTGACCTGGAGCACAGCACAATTTGAGATTAATCGGCCTATAAATAAAAAAGCAGTCAAGAAGGATATTTCTAGTCACTGTTTTTCACATATTAATAGATTTTTTTTGTGCATTATAAGGCTTGCTCAACTTTCTACGTGTTTAAATGTTTTGCTTGTTTTTTCAGATACATAATTTTTTTTTTTTAAGTTTAGTTTTATTTATACTGGCTCTATTTGTTTGACAATGCCGTCATGACTTTTTTATTTTTTTTTAATTACTCAAGTAATATGTGGGTAGATTCTGGTTATAGAAATCCCTGGGTGGTACAGATGGTTAAGCACTTGACTACTAGCTAAAAGTTTGGTGGTTCGAACCCATATCAAGCTTCTGCAGACAGGCCTGGTGATTTGCTTCCGAAAGGTCACAGCCTTAAAAACCCTATGGAGCAGTTCTACTCTGCACACATGGGGTCGCCATGAGTCACAATCAATTTGATGGCAACTAACAGTAACAACAACAGATTTTTGTTATATAAAAATACAGATAAGCAGGAGTCCTGATCGCCCCCTTTCCTGTACCCTATTACTCCCCTCCCCAGTATAAGAGCTTTATAGAAATTTTATTTTGTGAGGTTTTCTCTACATAATGTCATTATGCCATACGTATTGTTTGTAATTTGTTTTTCACTTAACAACATATCTTGAATTCTTTCCATCTCAGTGTAAGTGGGTCTCCTCACTCTTTTTAGCTGCTCTCTGGTCTTCCCAAGTGTGGATGTGTCATTGTGGATTGAATCACTCCCCCACTGAGGAGCACTGGGGCTGTGTCCTCATACCATGATTCTTCTTGTCTGTGATTTTGTGCACATGTGTGTGCCCACCCACAATGGATTTGTAGACGGAAGGAAGGGAATAAAGCTTTGAAGTTTTAATAAATACTGCCAAATTGCTGTTCAAAGTGCTATGTTTGTTGACATTCCCTCCAGGGTTATCAGCAGAATGCTCACTTCCACCCACCACCAGCCACGCTGCATGTTGTCAACCTTTTTCATTTGGATTAGTAATGAGGTTGAACAACTTTTCTTATGTTTAGTGAGTGTTTGTATCTTTTTTGTGAGTTGTTTGTTTATATATCCTTTGCACATTTTTCTCTTGGGTTGTATGCCTTTTTCTTATTGATTTATAAGAATTCTTTATATGTTTAGGATACTAACCTTATTCTGTTACATGATTTTTTCATTATTTTTCCAACTTGTTTCAGACCATAACTTAAAACACAAGGATTGGCTGGTTTTCTTTTATTTTCTTTCTTTCTTTTTGGTGGATATTTTAAGAAAAGCATTAATATTTAAAATGTTATTTTGATACTGGAATATAAAGAGATGAGAAATGCCTGTCAGTTATTTCTCACTAATTTAGTGTTCTAAGAATCTAATACCAATAGCAATATATAATTAGATATTCCTTTAGTTGGACTAGTCATTGCTTGTAAAATAAAGTAGTGACAGTCATAAAAATTACCAAGGGTGCAACAAGTTATCAATGTATGAGTGACCACTTTACTTTCAGACTGTTTTCTTAGATTGAGAAGATTTTTTAAAAGTTCAAAAGCATTGATAAACAAGCCAAGCCAACGTAATTGGTGAAGTGTGAATTATGTAAGGATGAAATGAAATGATAGGCAGATCACTCAGTGCAGTGCCTAGGACATACTGAGAATCCGGGAATGTTACGTAAAGCAGCAATCATGATAATAACCCATTTGGTCCTCACAGTAACCCTGTGCCGTGTCGCTATTGCTGCTTCCTTGTTTCACAGGAGAGGACATGGAGCCTTAGACTTAGCGACTTTTCCAGGGTCAGACAACTAGTAATCTGCAGAACTTGTGTTTGTAACTACTGTGTCACATTGCCTTTCTAATGCTATACTTAAGGGGAAATGTAACATTCTGTGATATTAAAAGATTCTGAAAAGGGGAATTAAACTTGTAGCTGTCAGCTGTTCAAAAGAAAGATTGGGAAACCTGTTCGTAGTGTACTGTCAGTACCTAGTTGTTTCAGTCCACTGGTTGTCCACGAGATTTTCTCCTTTTACGTGGCTTAACGTAGGTATCCCTATCATCACACAGCATATATTAACAAGATACAGGTTGAACTTAGAATTTTTGAGAGTTGATCACAGTCTATAACTGAACCATCCAAAAGGGTAGCAACTAGCCATGTATGGCTATTTAAATTTCACTGTTATTAATTAAAATTAAATACTGAGACCCTCAGTCATACCAGCCACACTTCAGCTGCTCAGTAGCCACATGTGGCTCTGATTGGACAGTGCAGATTTAGAACATTGCATCATCAGAGAAAGTTGTGGTAGAGGTGCTGGTCTAGAACTACATGTTTCCCCCCTTATTACTTATGGAACAACAACCTTGTTCTGAGGTATAGAGGGCCCTGTGGCTCTTGCTGTGTTAAGCCTCCCTCAACAAATGTAGCGGTTTTTCAGAGAAGTGACAGACTCTAGTTACAGCATATTAGTGTCTTTATTATCCCTTTATTATGAAAAGAGGCAGCAGTTCGTGAAGGACATTTGATATTCAGGCTACTCTTTCACTTATTTATAAGCTAAGATTAAATATAACCAAAAACTGGGAATTTAGACTTTAGGTTTACTGCTCGTATCTGTAAGTTAGATGTGTAATCATAAAATGATCACTGTTCTGATTTGGCACAATGTAGAAGCAAACTTTTGGTGTTACTTACATTTGTAGCTGTGCAGTGATGTTGCTCTGTTTGTTCTAGTCTTTTAAAGACTCCTGCCGCAAATTCTACCAAGCAGAGATGGAAGAGCTTGACTTTGCTAATGCTACAGAGGAGTCCAGAAAACACATCAACACCTGGGTAGCCAAGAAGACAGAAGGTGAAAATATTTTGTTATCCTATTTTAATTGTATCTTAATCAGTCTTATTGTTCATTCCTTCACAAGACTGTCAAATGTAAACAGGAATGGCTTTTTTTTCCCTCTGAACAACTTCAGACTTTAAAAATCTGCTTCTGAGATATTGTCAACATATGACATTTTCTCTAGCTTTTCCCTGCTTTCATAAAAATATCTTGATGTCTCTCAATATTTGGTACACCTCTTCCAGAATAATTCACGCTTAGTTTTTTTTTTTTTTGGTTGATGTTAATGTCTTAGTTACCTAGTGCTGCTGTAACACAAGGTCCCTGGTGGCACAAATGGTTTGCGCTCGATTACTAACCTAAAGGGTGGTGGTTCAAACCCACCCAGTGGTGCCGCAGAACAAAGTCCTGGTAATCTTATGCTAAAGATTACAGCCAAGAAAACCCTATGGAGCACAGTTCTACTCTGTAACACATGGAGTCTCCATGAGTTAGAGTTGCTCGATGGCAGTGAGTTTGTTTGTTTTTTGCTGTAACACAAGTGGGTGGCTTTGAAGAACAGAAATTTATTCTCTCACAGTTCAGGAGGCCAGAAGTCTGACTTCAGGGCGAGACTCTAGAGGACAGTCTTTCTTGTTGGTAGTCCCATGAGCTCCTTCGTGCCTGCCTTCTCCCAGTGTGTGTCTGTGTCTATTCTATTCTTGTTACAGCTCAGAATTGATTAGATCTAGGACCCACTCTACTCAGGTATGTCCTCATTAACATAACAAAGAAAACCCTGTTTCTAAACAGAATTGCATTCGCAGACAGGGGCCAGGACTTCAATACATATTTTGTGGAGTAGGGGTGGGGGTCACAATTCAATCCACTTCAGTTAGTATAGCCTTTCTTTTCACAGCTGGCATGAAGAACAATGGGCACTGAGGGATTCCGGAGGTCTACCTCCCGAGTCTCTGCAGCATACCCACCCAGTGCCACGGGATGTCCCCTTAGCCCTTGTCTACCTTCCCTTCTTAGTTTAAACTGTTCTTTATACATTTGCTACAGCCTCACACCTTCCTGACAACTCTTTAAGTTCCTTTCTTTAAGTCATAAGCCCAGTCATTCCTTTCCCTCTCAAGACATGCTATCAACTCATCCTGTACATATTAATTAATACTTACTTGTTCATTTGATGTGTTTTGTTCAAAGTGTAGTATTTTCTTACCAGAGCTGGATACTGTGCTTCAAGTTAATGTTGTTGTTGTTGTTTTAAGGACCCATAAAATCTGTTGCTGTCTAGTCAATTCTGACTCATAGTGACCCTATAGGATGGAGTAGAACTGCCCCGTAGGGTTTCCAAAGCTATAATCTTTACGGAAGCAGACTGTCACATCTTCCTCCCATGGAGCAGCTGGTGGGTTCAAACTGTCAACCTTTTGGTTAGCAGCTGAGCACTTAACCACTGCGCCACTAGGGCTCTTTGTTTTAAGGACAGACATCCCTTTATATGGTGATGATTTGGGAGACTGTGAAATCCTTTCACCTGTGTACTTGACTCCTACAGGGGATGGCCAGTCTGGACCTTGGTCCTAACACAGGAATCAGGGGACTCTTCTAGCTAACTGGCTCTCTCATTCTACTTTTCAGGTAAAATTACAGAGTTGCTGTCTTCAGGTGCAGTTAATTCGATTACTAAGCTGGTTCTCGCGAATGCCATCTATTTCAAAGGAAACTGGGATACTCAGTTTAACAAAGAGCAGACGAAGGAAAGACCTTTTAAAATCAGCAAGGTGAATATTTTGCACTAACAAAGGATATTTTTAGAAATCATCCCTGTGTGCATACTGGTTTTTAAAACATGCAAGAAAGTTACCTTTGAGTAACTTTCACTTTACACAGCCCTTTGGCAATGCTGTACTCTCCAACAAGCCTGGGGCTTTTCTTTCGCCTTTTTCTCTGGGCTAGCTCCCTGAGTCATCTGTCTCTATCTATATCACAGATCCGATCAGATAGCTGTCAGGCCTAAAGTCCTCCTTGGCTTCCTTCCCAAAGTGTTAGAGATGGAGTTCAAGCTCCACAGTCTGGTGTGTGAGGCCCTTTGCAATATGGTCTGGCCCATTCTCCATTGATATTTCCCACCCATCCCTCCATGCTCTTTTCTTTCCACCAGTGCCCCCTCTGGGAGACTTCTCTGACTGTCCTCCCAGTCTGGTTCCAATGCCCCTCCTCTTGGCCATCACAGTGTGTTGGCCTGTCTCCACAAGAGCACAGCAATGTTGAATGATGTGTCCTTTACCCCACCCTGCAGAATGCTACTTGAGGGCAGAGACTGCTGTCTTAACAAGTTCTACTACATAGTCAGTGCTCTGTCAGTACTGAACAGATGAATGATTTCAGTCTTCTTTTGTAATAAAGATAATAGAAGCACAACATTTTGTTTAAAAATATGTGAACACAAGGACATGTACATAGGATAGATACAGAGTTTAGCTTCCCTCCAGCTTTGAAGATATTATTTGCTTTATCTGTCTCACCATATCCGGGTTATTCCTTCTTTTTTGTTTGATTATAGAGGGTTTTTGCACACGCACAAAAGTACACAGAATAGATTAGTCGTAGTACAGTCTTGATCATTGACTGTGAGTTAGATCTTCCAGGCCAACTTGAGCCTGAACCTTCAGTTTCTCAAGAAATATATCTTCTTTCGAGCTTTATTGGGAAGTGCACTGTCCCATTCTCCCCTGGCAAACTTATTTCTGTCCTTTGAGCTCTGTGTTCCAGCGGCAAGCTCTTCTCCATGTCCAATGCAGGGTCAGGTAGGCAGTGGTGGCTTGGAGTCTGGAGTGCAAGAGAGAAGTTGGGCTAGAGATGTGAATGTGTAAAATCAAGAGACTGGATGAGATCACCAGAGAAAATAAGCTTGACGATTGAGCCCTGGGCCCCCAGGGCTTCGGGGTGGAGGTAATGAAGGCAAGGTGGCAAAGGAGGGGGCTGATCTGGGGTTCTGGAAGCAAAGGTAAGAAAGTGATTCCAGGGGCAGAGTGGCCTACTGTATTGAATATGTCCAGTGTGTGTCACCTGGGTCATGTTTCAATGTAGTGTTTATCTGTTACCTTTACAGAATGAGGAGAAGCCTGTGCAAATGATGTTTAAGAAATCTACTTTTAAAATTACCTATATAGGAGAAATATTCACCCAAATTCTAGTGCTTCCGTATGTCGGGAAGGAGCTGAATATGATCATCATGCTTCCGGACGGAAACACGGATTTGAGCACGGTAATGAGTGTTAAGCAACTGATGATCTTTGGTGGTAACATCGTGCTATCATGGCAGGAAAATGACATTTGGATTTCTGCTGTAGTCACGCTCCCTGCTTCCCAGTTAGTGACTTTTAATGCTAGCAAACTTCCAGTCACTTGTATTCACATTTCTGGAACTCAGAGGTAAGGGGTTTAGTGCCAGGGAGGGGAATTCCTGGAGTGTGAGAGTACTTTGGTGGCTGCCAGAAGACATGTGGGTAGATATTCTCAGGAAAAGGCTTTCCAGCCTAGTTTTAGTGTGATACTCACTTCTAATTTCGTCAATCACTGTACCCTAGTCACTCCATAAAAAATAGTGATATTAAGAGAAGCTAATACTACTTTAAATATATTTTTAAAACTTTATAGACTGTTTCAATTGCATTTGACTGCTTTAGGGTAAACAGCAAGTGCAGTGTTGTGGGAGGAATTCTGTTCATAGAAGGTGAAGATGGCCTTCCTCGCCTGATCAGAGAATAGAAGGAAGGTGCAGTCCAGAGATTGCATCTTGTCACAAGTGAGGAGAAGGAGAAAAAGGCTTTAATTATATGTGATTGGAATCTAAATTGGCACAGCTTTTTGAGAGTGCCATTTAGCAATTTCTGTTAAAATTTAAATGTGCGTACCCTTGGCATAGCAGTCCCACTGGAAGCAATCTGTCCTACAGAATGGTGGTGCAGGTTTTTATAGATGCACAAAGATGTTTGGTACAGCATTGTCTATAATGGTCAAAGTGCTGAAAACAGCCTTCATATTTGTGGGACTGGTTAAGTATAAATTGTGATATCTCTCTACTGTGAATGTTTTATGCACCATTAAGTTTCAGTAGAGCTGTGAATACTGCAGTGGTGAGCTTTCCCAGACAAAGAAGTAAGTGAATATAACAAATTGCAGAAAAACATTAATAGCCAATATTTAGCAGTTACTATAAACCAACAAAAAAACCAAACCTGTTGCCTTTGAGTCGATTCTGACTTATAGTGACCTTACAGAACAGAGTAGAACTGCCAGTAGGTTTCCAAGGGGTGGCTGGTGGATTCAAACTGCCAACCTTTTGTTTAGCAGCCACGTTCTTAACCACTGTGCCACCAGAGCTCCAATATGCAGGTATTATTCTATTATTAACTATATATATATATATATATATATATATATATATATAATATTAACTAATTTATTTCTAACACAGCCTTGCAAGGTAGGAATGATTCATTATCCCATTTTATAGATGAGGAAAGTGAGGCCCAAAGAGGTTAAGTAATTGGCCGGAAGTCTTATCAACAGTCTGGCTCTAGTGTCCACACTCCTAACCACTACACATACTGCCTTTCCCTGGCAGCACAACCCTAGGAAAACCCAGGGGCTGTCTGTAAGAACAAAGAAAAAAGCCTGGAAAGATGTGCACCAAAAAAACTACCAATGTTGTTAGCTTTAGGAAATTGGATTGAGATAGAGAAATTCCATTTTTTCTTTCTACACCTCTTACAATGAGCACATCTTTTGTAATTTAAAACATTCTTAAAAAAATAAAAAAAAGGTGATGCTGTCCTCACGATCACAGTGATGTGAGTAATATGGAGAGGTCGGAGCTGTAAAGAAGTAATTACAGTGCAGGTGCGAAGTGTGGTGGTGGAGGTGCAGACCGAGTGGGATGCACGGAGGAGAGCTACGGTGGGGGTTTCAGGGTTGTGGTATATGAACTGTTCTTGAAAGAGGAGGTAGAGCTCAGGAGGGCCTGTGGGAAGTGAGGGTGTGCAGAAGCCTCAAAGGGTGTGCATGCCCAGAAGGAAGCCAGAAGGTAGGGTGTGGGCCAGGATATGGGTGGAGAAGCTAAAGGGATAGGCTGGAGTCAGAGTGTGACCTTGCCTCAGAGGCAGTGAGGTATGGTGCCATGTTTCTCAGAGATTGTTTATTGAGATCGCAGATTCTCAGGATATTCCTCAGACACAGGATCTGATTGGTGGAATAAGTTTGAGAATGCATGCCCCTTATTCTGTCCTGGGAAATTCAAAGTGTACATTTTATCGTATTAAAGGCTCTGGCAAATCCTGCAGGAAAAAAAACTTAAATTTTATTTTTACCAGTGTTTCCCTAGCATACTTGACCATGTGCCTTTTCTTCTTGTAACATCCAATGGGGCTGGTGTTCTGAATGTTGAACACACTTTAGAAAATGCTATTATCTGGAAGGGACTGTGGTTGGGGTTGAGCCAGGCCTGAGTTCAGTGTTCTGCTTTACAGATTTAGAAGGTGACTTTTTTTTTTCTCTTAGCCTGTTTCCTCCTATGGAAAATGTGACAGTGCCTGTCTGTGAGGGCTACTGGAGGATTAAAGGCGATGATGTGTATAAAGCATTTGTTTAATAGTGCAGAGAGTTAAGCCATTGACACAGATTAGTAGTCTTCTTCCCAACCTTCCTAGATAGTTTCAGCTTTGTCCTACAGAGGGCAGTTCTGTGGCAGAGTGTCTCTAATCTAATGTGAATCATTTGGGGATCTTTTTAAAATGCAGATGCTGAAGCTCCCAGGTAAAGTTGAGGCTGCTGGCCCCTGGACCTCATTCTGAGTAGCAAGGTTGTAGAGAATCAGTGACGGTTAAGCAGGAGAGTAATTTGTGTTTATAAAGGTAATCCTTATGGCTGCAATGGATGAACTGGCAGAAAGGCAGAAGGGAGATAGATCAGACAGGAGCTGCTGTGGCATTCCAGGCAAGGCGTGACAAGGGCCTGAGCGAGGGCAGTGGCAGTGGAGACAGAGGAAGAGCGAGAGTGGAGAGAGATTTTGGAAGTTAAATCAACATAACATGGTTGGATTCATGAGAAGGAGGCAGAGTGAAAGAGAAGGCCAAGTCTGAGATATCCCACCTTATCATGCCTTCAATAAGGTAGAACACCTAACTCTAAGAGGACAGCTCTTCTCTCAGAAATGGAGTCTGACCTGTGCCTAATTATAAGTTTCTGCCTCAGGGAACAGATTTGCATTTCTGGAGTTGAAGAATTAAGGGTAGAAATGTAAAACCATCTTCTAGTTGAATGGTTTAGCATTATTGTGCTCTCTTATAGAGCTATAGTGTCCAAAACAGTAGCCATAGCCACATATGGCCATTTAAACTAAAATATATTAAAATACAAAATTCTGGTCTTCATTTGTACTACCCACATTTCAAGTGTTCAGTAGCCACCTTTTACTAATGGCTACCATATTGGACAGCACAGGTGTAGAGCATTAACATCATAGCAGATGATAGCACTGCTGTAGATCTTAAACTCTTCATGTCTCTTCTTCCAGGTGGAAAAAGAACTTACTTATGAGAAATTCATGGAATGGACAAGGCCAGACATGCTGGATGAGGAAGAGGTAGAAGTCTTCCTTCCTAGATTCAAGTTAGAGGAGAATTATGACATGGAGGATGTCCTTCGCAGTCTGGGCATGGCTGATGCCTTTGACCAGGGCAGGGCAAACTTCTCTGGAATGTCCTCCAAGAGAGACCTGTATCTATCCAAGGTTGTGCACAAGTCTTTTGTGGAGGTCAACGAGGAAGGCACAGAGGCAGCGGCTGCCACTGCTGCTATCATGATGATGCGCTGCGTAAGGATCACCCCCCGGTTCTGTGCTGACCACCCCTTCCTCTTCTTCATCCAGCACACCAAGACAAATGAGATTCTGTTCTGCGGCCGGGTCTCCTCTCCATAAGGAAGAGGAGTCATTTGTTGTAGCCTTTCTCCTTTCTCCTACCACGTGCCTTTCCTCTGACACTTTCTCCTACCACGTGCCTTTCCTCTGACACTTAACAATGTGCCTATAACCTAGAGTGACCTTATTAGTGTGGTGGTGACGGTTTAGAAATAAAGGACCTGATTTTGACATTCCTGGTTCAGAACTCTTGTGTATGTGTGTTTACATGGTAATGTTTTTCTAGGCTCTGAAATGGAATTCTCTGAGTGTGTCTTGTGGCCAAGTTGGCAGTGGTCGCACTGACTACTCAGCAGAACTACTCTGTTCAGAATAAGGTATCCTCCCTACTCCCCTCGCCCCCGTATACAGCATTCCAGCTGTCCCAGGCACTCTTATGTCTTCCTTTGTGCTGAGTGCTATGGCTCTGCCCTTATAAGCTGCAGGCACAGGGAGATAAATGCTACTTTCCCCTCTTCTGTACTCAATAGCATATACTCAAATTGAGTATATATTCAGATAGCACAGCATGATCTGTATTGAGATGCCGCCTGTTTTTCATGCGGGAATAGAGTGAAGTGGAGGGAGGGAGGGGGTTTAGGTCCAGGTCTCAGAAATGTTTAGTGGGGAGCCCTGGTCCAACAGTGGGGAGAACAGTAACTCAGGTGGTGAGAAATCAGCCCCATTCCTCTTATGTTTCTGCTGCTGTTGTGGTTTGCAGGGATGTGTGGCCTACCTGCCCTGAAAATGCAAGATCGCTCTGAGGAGGCAGAGATGGTTAGACATGTCCCATCTACAGAGGTGTGGTTTTAGAGCACATCATGAGTAAACTTCAGGTGGCTTTCTGTTTTACTTCAAGGACTAAACAGAGAAAAGGTGGATAAGTTTTCTGTGGCCACTGGTGTTACTTGCTGAGATGTGGCAGCTGTTTTCAGTGGCTCAGGAACAAATTGATGCAGCAGGTTAAATAGGAACCTGCCATTATTTCTAGGCAGCAGCTGAGAGGACTGCTCCACTGACCCATTTGCTGTCAGCAGGAGCCTGGGCCCTCCAACTTAACTGATGCAACTCATATTTTCATGCTGTAGCTGGTCCACTTGCCCTGTGTACGCAGGCCAGCACCTTGGGTGTGGGCAGATAGTGGGACTGAGGAGCAGAAGGAAATGTGGACATTATAGTGGGCCACATCTGCATAACTCTATGTATATTTTTTTAAAATACTAGGACGGAGGACTTGGAAAGAGAATTCAGGGGTGGAGAGTAATCAGTTAATACAATGCTTCTGTTGCAGAGGGCGCCTCCAAGTGTTATCACCAGCAGCAACAGTAGGGTGTCTTGTTCCCATGTGGGGAGGGGTTTGAGGCAGGCCATCTTACACGGCCTCACAGGGAGTCTGGTTAAGTGCAGGGTAGGGGCTGGGGTGTGTGTGCAAGTGGAATAGACTCTAACCATTCAAGCAGTAAGATGTTTTCCCTGGGATACAGACTTCAGACCATATGAGCATATAAGTTATGAACATGAACATCAGCAGTCCCTTCTGTTATAGCTTATAGTACAGTAAGACCATACTAAAACCAAACCAAACCCACTGCCTTCGAGTCCATTCTGACTCACAGTGACTGCATAGGGTTTCCAAGGCTGTAAATCTTTACGGAAGCAGACTGCCACATCTTTCTCCTGTGGAGCTGCTGGTGGTTTGGAACCGTGGACTTTTCGGTTAGCAGTCAATAGCATGTGAAAACCATTGGACGTAGAACAAACCACACATAACCTGCTCTAGGATGCTCTTAGGGTCTCCCCGAGTTCCTTCACAGTAGCAGTCTGTCAAATTGTCCTTGAAAAGTTGTCACTCAATATTTCATTACATTCAGTAGAAGGCACAACCACTAATAATCCCACATCTTTTATGAAATTGCTCCAGGAGACCTTCCCATTGCATGGTACAGTTTCCTGTCAGCATCCTAGGCACTCAGCACTTAGTGTTGCAGTCCACCCAGAGGCTCTTCAGAAGAAAGGCCTGGCCATCTATTTCTGAAAAATCACTCTAACGCACATGAGGTCACCAGGAGTTGGGGTCGACGTAATGGCAACTGGTACTGGTGTAGGATTTAATTCTAGGAAAAGTCGTCCTCCCCCACCCCCATTCACACGTGTTTACTGAGCACCTGCTTTGTGATGGGCGCTTTACAAAGACGATTTTATTTAATCGTCAGCAATAAACCCAGGAGGAAACCGAGGCTCAGGAGCGTTAGTAACTTGAACAAGGAGGCAGAGCTGGATCTGATGTCAGGTCTGTGACACCGAATCTCGCGTTCTTCCAGGTGACTGAGCTGGCCCAGGGTATAAGGGTGGGGAGTGGGCTGGTGGAAACCTCAGGTCCCAGTGCAATGCAGGCTGCGCAGGACCAGAGGTGTCTCCGCCTGTAACGGCTGGTCTCATTTCTCTCGCTCTGCTCTCGCGTGTGAAAAAGGGCTTGGAAATTTCCAGCACGAAAGCACTCGGAACTGGACCTCGGAAGAGGGTCTCTCAGCGCTGCTGTGCTCTCGAACCTCAGCAGGGTGGCGGCACCCTGCAGGAGTGCCAGGTGGAGGTGCTGAAGTCCCTCCTCAGATTCCCCAGCAAGCGGAGCCCCGGGCGCCCGTGCCTTGCCCTTGAGGCCAGGCCAGGCCGCGGGCGAGACTAGGACTGAAGCCAAGGTGCTTGGAGCCAAAGGGACCTAGCTGGTGCAGCAGATGGCGCTGTGGGGACCCGGAGCATGGGGGCCGAGAGCTCGCTGCCCACGCTGTGCGGTAAGACTCACCGAGCAGTCCCCCGGGCCCAACTGGCCCCGGGGTCTCGGGAGAGGGCATCCCAGGAGGGGCTGGGGCGCAGGAGCAGAGATCTGGATGCCACTTCCTGAGGCCCAGGGGACTTCTGCCCAGCCTGGGCGCCCCCGTGTCATTGGGGTTTTACTGCGTGAAGCACTTGGCTGCTAGCCGAAAGGTCAGCAGCTGGAAGTCACCAGCTGCTCCCCGGAAAAAAGACCTGGAGGTCTGCTTCCCTAAAGATTACAGTCTAGGAAACCATATGGGGCAGTTCTACTCTGTCCTGTAGGGTCCCTATGAGTTGGAATCAACCTGACGGCACCCAGCAACAACAATAAGAGCAGGCGCAGGAGCAGGCCTCGGGACCATCTTGAGCATTGGCCAAAAACCCATCGTGCCCCAGGTGACCGTGGGGGCAGCAGTGAATACCCTGACACATTTATAGTAGGCTGAAGTAGTGAGGTGATTGTTACTTAATTTTTTTATACATTAATTTTTCTTTTTAATTCTCTAGAATGACCATGTATTCTGGTATAATCAGAAAATATTTTTAAACTGTGTATAGGGAAAAAGGGCTTCTGTTGTATTTAAATGTGGAATTAAGTGTGTGTGTGGTGGGGGGCTCTGCTCATTCCTTGTAAGTCATCATACTCAAATGCAGTTTTCATCTTCCTCACATGTCTCCTATTCTTATCCCCCAACCCCCCCCAAAAAAGTTCCTGTTATTCCCACTCACTCTTCTTTGACACCATTCAGCCTTAAGCAGTAGCTGCAAGTGCTCCCGGGTCTGATGGCCTCTCTGAACTTGGCAGGGTTGCTGACAACGCGGATGGTGGCCAGGGAAGGCCAGGTGCTGCTGGCCTGGTACACACTGATCTTCAGCACAGGACTTTGTCTTCTGATACAGTATTTTTTCTGAAACTTGGATGCCTACCTAGCCTAGGGAAAGAGAGTGGAGTTATCAGTTGAGGCCCACTACATTGCGAATGCGTGGGCCATGTTGCGATCTTCTCACTAGGACTGTTCGGATCTGGGTGAACAGTGTTAGCCTTGCAATCAGAAAAGATCTGGGCTCCAATTTCCACTTTGATACTGCATGTGGTGCTCCAGACACACGTAACTGCAACCTTACCCCAAATATACAGAGAACAAAAAAAGAGGAGACACTCCCCAGTTCATTGTATGTATATTTCACAGCCTTGAAAATAGAAGGAGAGTGTGAAAAAGTTGAGTTTATTCCAGCAATAGAAAGTTAATGTAACATGATAAAATTAATGCCATTTACCATGTTTACAGAATAAAGGAACGAAATCATATGGTCATATCGATAGGTGCAGAGTCAGCTATCTACTATAAAGGAAAATACGGTGACTGGGAGACACAAGTAATAGGCCCATTTATTGATAGGTTTTTTTGTTTATTTGTTTTAAATCAGCCTGGCCAAATGCAAAGCCCTTTACATAAACTAACTTCATTTCCATAGCCACCTTTTGAGATAGACATCATTTTTAATTGTTGTTATCGCTTGTAATCTGTAGACAAATTTTGGATACATTTTCTACTCAACCTTAGAAAAGTGTCCCCAATTCATTAAAAAAAACAAAACAAACAAACAAAATTTTCTTTTTATGGTCATTTAGACACTTTAAGATTGTCAAGAGCAATTATTGTTACCAATTTTCTTGAAATTTACAACTATAAAATTATACACATGGGGGAAAAAGCATGTGCTTTAAAGAAAAGGACAAAAAGAGTGAAGCATGGATTAACTTTCCTATGTCATGTGGAGACCTTCTGGAAGGGCAGTGCCAGCATCAGGAGCAAGTAATCTTGTCTGTTCAAGGCATACTCATCTGGCGAAGCATACACATCCTAATTCAACATGAATTCAATCCTGAAACCACCTTACCTTCATGTATGTCTCCATTAAAACTAATCCTTTCTTAATAAAAACAAATCCCAGAAACTCTTAAATCAGCACGTAAAATACACTCTCTTGGTGGCCAAAGGCAGATTGAGATTTAGCGTCTCGAGGCTCTCTTGATTGCCACTCCTAACCTCCCTACCCATGGAGTTCTGGTTCTGAGCACTCTGGTGCAGCTAGATGCATTCAAATGTAACTTTGCTAAAAGATGGGTTTTAGAGAGGGAAATGAAACTGGAAGTGGGTATTATGACTTCTCTGTGAACTTGCAGGCCATTTAAAATATCCTCTTTACAGATTATTTCCTCTCCCTCCTCCTTATCTTCAGAGGAAACAGATAGACACACAACTGAAATAAGATTAGAGATTAACCTACACATTCTTCTGAAAACATAGCCAAAATTTGTTTTTCAGTGTATGAACTCTATGTAGTATCTATATAACCCAAAATGTTGAAGCATGAAATCAAATATACTTGCCAAATATGAAATGTGGCCAAACTA